CACAGAGTCAGAGTTCAGTCAGAATCATCAAGGCAAGCTGGATATAGACATTATGAAACTTCTGAACAACATCAAACCAGACTTCAAGCACAAAAATTAAGACAAATAACTTACAGAGAGCAAGAAACAGAGGAGCAACATGATGTATGACTTCAGGCTCAAAGAACAAGACAAGCTCAAACACGATCTAATTTCAAATAAAGCTTTGTTTGATTAAATGCTTTTTTTTTCTCGCATCACAGCTTTTGTCTACTTAATGATTAATTGCTGAAAAAAATACTGATCTATACATTTCAAATCCAAATTTTCACTGTGCAACACCGGGTAACTCAGCTAGTATAAATATATTTTGGTCTTCAGTACAACAAAGATCTCTCAATCAAGATACTTCTGTACATATTTTACTCCTAATAAATAGCAGCGGGTGTACCCTTTCAGCTCACAGATAAGACAAGTGGTCCCCAGGGGTTGACATGTGGAGTTCAGATCTGAATGTGGACCCTACTTTACTCCTTGGGAGCATTAAGAGCACATGCCAGGTTATATGAAAATAAATCAAGGGGATTGCCACTTATAAGACACACACAAACATTTGTTAAATAATGGTTTAGATAAGTTAACAGCATAATGCATTTATGTGCTTTATCTTAATATACAAGATACAGTGAACAGAAGACATTTTTGTAAGAATCTTATTGTTCATACACAAAATATACAGTCAACAGAAGACAGTGTTGTAAGTATTTTACTGTTCATAAACAAAAGATAGTAAACAATTCTTTTATAAGTATCTTACTGTTAACAAACAAAAGATACAATGAATAGGATAAGAAATTTGTATCTTATTGTTAACCCACCTAAGATACAACCAAAAGAAAACATTTTTTCTATTTTATTGTTAATAAACAAAAAATGCAGTCAACAGATTAAGACACTTTGTATTTTATTAACCCACTGGTGATTCATTCAACTGTATAAGACATTTTTATATTTTATTGTTAATAAGTAAAATGTGTGATTAAGAATATAATAGAACACTTGTTTAACTCAGCCAATATAAGAAGACAGTTTTGAAAGTACTTTGTTTTAACATAAAACCCATTCATGTATTATATTTAATAGAACATTTACTAATTTTTGAAATCCACAAAAGAAAACACTTTGACATATTTAAATGCCCACTAGTCAAATTGTATTTTAAAACATAATAAGTAGAAATGATAGAATAATTCATTTGTTCAACTACTATGAAGTAGTGAAAACTTGGTGTTGCTCTTTATTGACACAACACAATCAACATACAAAGTGATTTATTAATACAAAACTAAGTACCAAGTGGTTTACTGGACAAATGACAGCATATTTTCATTACATACATCCTCTTGGAAGATATTTACTTCTTAGTTCATGCAGGACACATTCTTGCACCATACCACAAAATAAAAGACAGTTGGTTTTTGCTGCCAAACTCTTACAGATAAATAGCATAAAATGCCTTCATCACAAAGTAATCAGCAGAAAAAACATTATTACTGACATCAAATAATGTCACATTGAGTAACATGCTCTTAGCAGATAAACAGCTAAGATAATTAATGTTAAGACACAAGCCTTCACCACAACAACTGTTATCACTGGACAAACAGCCAAAATAATTAGTAATAAGACACATGCCTTCACCACAACAACTGTTATCACTGGACATACAGCCAAGATAATTAGTGTTAAGACACAACAACTGTTATCACTGGACAAACAGCCAAGATAATTAGTGTTAAGACACAAGCCTTCACCACAACAACTGTTATCACTGATACTATAGAATGTCAAGCTGAGTAATATGCTCTTACTGGATGACCAGCTAAGATAATGAAATTTTTCAAAAGTTACAATATGCAAGGAAAATACTACTACTTTCAATCATGAGGATACACTGTATGAATTTCATTGAGATACATTTGTGAATCTTACTTCTCTACTTAATACTCCACAACGTCTAGGTGCTATAAGTTATCAGATATGATAATATTTAATGGTGTGTAGAAGACATTTAATACAATAAATAAATGACCTTATAAAATCAAATTTGTTATTTTTCTTTAATTGGACACCCAACATTTAGCTTTACAGCTTCTTCAGAAGCATTTTGTGGAACAATCCTGATGAAATAAAACACTGAGGGACCAATTAAAGAAAAATAACAAATTTGTTGTTATAAGGTCGTTTATTTCTAGTATTAAGATATAATATTTTGATGTGTTTTTCATATTGGTCATGAATCTATAGTATGTGACAGATTTAGAAAAAATCTGAACATTTATTCAAAGTACAATTCTTATAGTGTTGATAAGCTTAAGAAAAGTAACTAAGTAATACAACTAGATAATACACAAAGTCCAGATTATTGTAATGTTGGTCCAACAGTCATTTGGAATTATCAAGTTTGAAAGGAAGATGTTCACAATACAAAAGATAATGTACAAAGTCCAGATTATTCAAATATTGTTTAAACAGTCCATGAGAAGTATCATGCTGAAAAGGAAGTGTTCTTAACAACAGAATATAAGTAACTACTACACAAAGTCCAGATTCTTCTGGTGTTGCTTAAACAGTCCATGAGAAGTATCATGCTGAAAAGGAAGTGTTCTTAACAACAGAATATAAGTAACTACTACACAAAGTCCAGATTCTTCTAATGTTGCTTAAATAGTCCATGAGAAGTATCATGCTGAAAAGGAAGTGT